AATAGAAGAAACATATTAGATATCACCTGTATTACCTTTCGAATTTTATCGTAGTGACTCAGACTAGAGCCAGTAAACCTTACATTCATTTCTGTTGTGTGCAGGAGTAGCCCAGTGAGTTCTGTCTTCTTTAGGAACTCGTTGAGCTTCATGTTTTTCTTCTTCGTGTCTGGAAGGGTTTTCGTGTAGAACTTCGACCATCGGGTCCGGTGGTCTTCCTGCAATACGTTTGACATCCCGAGGAACCCAATCATTAAAGGTTTTGTCCAGTAGTTGTTGTTCACACTCATTACGTGTCCCAACGTATCTTCGACAGTTCGCCGTATGGTATAGCGTCATTGATTCTTGGTCGCTGACGTACATTGAAGCTTCTTATCTTTTCTCCTATTTCCGTGATTAACGAAGCTCATAACATAGTCCTTTCGACTGCGTTCTCAATAATTCTGAGTAATCTTTCATCGTTCTTGCGTAGAAACCAGGTTTCTGCCGTGTGCGCTATGGCAGGAAGAATCGTGAAGTCGAAAAGGTGGAGACAAAATCGGGTATTCGTTGTCCTCTTCACTACATCCTCATTGCTTTTGAAAGCTCCCCAAGCCTCCCAATTTCTTCTGCTCAACTTTGGAGCTAAGTGGCTCATTATGTCGATTTTCCAATCTAGATCGACAAAACTGTAACATTTAGAGATGTTCATTCCCTTAAACGTGAATGGAGCACACGAAAGCATCCGTTCCTCATGAACATAGTTTTTGTAGGAGTTCCTTAAAGACTATGGCTCCATTCCACAGGCTTTATCAAAGCCGGCAAATACTTGTTTTAAGGGGCTTGTAAGAGCGATGTCAGCTTCTGTCTCGACTGAGCCAAAAACTTCCTTTAAATAGATTGAGGTAAAACAGACGGAGTCTTTTACTCTCGCGATACTTCAATGAGATTTGTTATCGTGTGGTTGTGCTCCATTGCACTAAATCCTTTTCGAAACCATGTTTGATGGTTGTCCTTCGTCCAGTCGAATGAATCGATGTTCATAGTCAGACTCGCATTTTCCGAGAAACAGTTCTTGTCCAGTGTCATCGAAGATGAATGACCTTGAATGAGTGGCGCCTTCTCGTCTCAGCCAGTCCGATGACGTCGCATCTTACACTTCTAGCCTGCGTGATCAAATCTCCTATCGAGGACTCAGGTGCAAGCGTGCATGCACTGTAGGTACAGATCGTCACATTAGTATTTTGCGATTTAGGCAGTTTAGAATGGTCCTGTGACTTTAGCAGCCTCTCCATACTCGTCCTACCCAACGCTGCCGAATAGCGGGGTCTTTTGGAGTCAGGGGAATGAGACCCGTTTATTTTACTATGCTTGAAACTTTGATATCCTCGTATAGCTTGGTGATCTCTGGACGAGAGGAATTGGTATACTCACGGGTAGCTTGCCAATCTCTTCTGGAGTAAGCGGAAAGCTTATATGTTGAAAGCAACTCCCGCTCATACAATTCTTTGCCACTTGTTGGCAGAATTGACTCGTAGAATGCAATCCGTATAAACGAGAACACAGCTAAGCACCCATGCGCGTATACGTCCTCGTATGTTCAGAAGGTATGTGTCAAATCGGCGAAGCAGAAGCAGGAAGTCCATCCCTTAGATCCACTTACGTCTCAGGGAAACAGAGTGCACTTTTGCTCCGCAATTAACCCCCTATTCCCCACCTGGTGACGCGCCACGCTGCATTGCGACTAACAGGCATGAGATCCCTCTACGAGGGAAATCCGTGGATATTCGATACATGTATACATATTTTTACGAACTGCCCTTCTTGATCTGACTAGAGTTGGTATAGCTCGTTTCTGTTGTTGCTGTGGTTCGATAGGTGACATTCGGTGATATCGCCTTCTGCGAAGCCTAGACACATTTTATATAACGATGGCTTATAATTGGGTTAAATATCTATAGTACTAACATAGATCTAATACATGAATGAACGCCATTTTAATCAAAAATTACTCTGTCATGTGTGGGACCACCCGTGTGTTGTTCAAGTGGGATGAGGAGTGAGCCGAGGTTAAAAGGGCATAATTATCCTCTGAGCTCGAGTGTTATCACGCTTCAAACAATCGGTACCGCAGTTTTAGAGAAGTAATTGCCTCACTATACTACGCCTTAATTTGTATTCAGAACCATGGCCTGGCCTCATATTCCTCGTCCCTAAATTGTGGAAAGCTTCCAAGACCGCTTTACGTTCTGAAATTTCAAATACTAAATTATCATCATCGCAGTGCATTATCAAGCACGTTCTTGACACAGAACTGCGTTTTCGCTCTTCAAAGATTCCGGTTGTGACCAGCACTACAGTGGCACGATATTTTTGCAATCGAGCAGCTTTTCCAGAAGAAAAATCCGGCGTTCTTTGTACTTTGTTCCTGGTAACAACAATCCATCCTCAAAGGATAAAGATTGTAATTTTTTCTTTTTTTCTCTTATGCTTATTATGTCACTCAACATTTCCATAACCGAACATGCAACGCACCCAATTCGATAGTGGATTTGACGGCTACTCTTGGACAACATCAGTCCTAAGTGCCTACCGCATGATCATATCTATCAATGCATTCAGTTAAAGAAAGTGATACACTGGAATTGGTGAAATTTCTTTCTAGTAGCGGCTGCTCTCCAACTGTGTTAGTGTGCTAGGTATTTTTCATTGTAGTGGAGCACAGTATATAATATTTATTGCTCATGGAAACATAGACAATATAGCCCATCTCAGTTCGATTAAAATAACGCTAAATTCTTTAAATAGTAAAGTAAATACATAATTGTCAATCACCATCCATTCCTCTTTCAAGGCTTGCCGGGTGGTCCGAAGTTGTCGTAGTCCCCTTTATCTAATGCTGAAAACAAGAACTTGACATCGAATTTCGGTGAATCAAAAAGGGTTTAGATGGAATGCTCAACTCCTGAATATTCCTTACTTTTTCTCATACACAAAATCCCACCCGAGAAGAAACTAAAACAAAAGAGTGGGCAATGAAGCTTCGCAATCAGCCATTTAAACCATTTGAGCCCCTATATTTTTAAAAAATAACTAGAGACTGCTTGCTATCGATTTGCAGAAAGTTTATTGAATAGAGCTTTGGGAACTCAATGCGTCTCTCAGGTGCCCTTTGGAATACATGCAACCTTCCACAGTCCAATAATCTGCCATTGGTGGATAAATCTTTTACATGGGGAATTCATACGAAACCGCTAAATTTGACAAAAAATGCTGTAGCATTAGTTGTATACGACAAGTTTTGCGGTGTAGAATACATCTTCGGAATCTCAAGGATGTGGGCACTCGAGATTTATAATTACTGTCTAATTATTCTTACTAGTATTCAGTTTTGTGTCTCAAGGCGCGTGTGGCATAGTGGCCTGAGGCGCCCTGCAATACATACGTGGAATCGATCCCCGTGTCCATGGGCTACCAAGCCTTCCATCTCTCCGGAGTCGGCAAGTTCATACCAGACTTGTCTGGGAGGATAGCAGCACTGGCTCGATGCATCGGTAGGCTACTTCGAGTCATTGTAAAGGCCAGATATGCATTAAATCACCTCCAACATAATGAAATCGAATTCATGGCGCATCCCTCACGGATTGATCAACGCCGAGAACTTTATCCTTTATTTATCCTTTAGTATGCAGTTTTATGGTGCAAAGCAATGAAACGTTATAGGAGATCGCTGAACCGATCACTACACTATGAATTACCGTTCCCATCATTGCGTCGCTTTTTGGTACGCTCTTCTAAACAAAGTGGAAACTAGCTTGTCTATTTACGAATCCCCTGGTCCAAGTGTGAAATACACCGGTCAGAGCGCAATATAATAAACACTACCTTTAGTTCAACTCTGCTACGGATCAACCGACTCCTCTATCCTTCTGGGGTCAAGAAATTGCTTCCAGATTTCTGTGGAAAAAGCACCTTCAAATCGAAACCAGCGACTTTCTCTGCTGAACATTTGAGAAGTTTCTGGCACTGTTTTTGTGGGAATCCAGGAAAAGTCACTTTCGACAAACACAGCGGGACTTACATCCAAAGGAACATCAAGGTACAGCTTAACGTAGAAGCAATTTCAAACACTTTCATGGATGATGGACTTAAAACAATGAACCGAGTCAAGAACGTGATAATATACAATCTGCAATCCACATAGTGTGTGAAAACGTGTCATTTAAATGAATAAATAAACAGCTACAGAACAGATGCACTATACCCAGTGGTTAGACCCCACTTAGACCAATTAAACTCCTCATACCATCGTGATTGCTAGTTTAGCACTTGTCTGGTAAGTGTTTCGTTCTATCTACAGAGGTCAGCGACTGCCTACTGTGAAGACCAGTGAGTGTCTTGAACCAACCCACGATTTCAGAGAGGGCCGTCTCAATCAGCATTTAAGGAAAAGAAGATCATGTGACAGCCAAACCAACACAAATTCCAAAACTTGCTGGTGACAGATGAAAGATACTGAAGACAATGAAGAAAGCGTTGAGACCTCAGTAATATGTAATATCAACAAATAATAAAATAAAAAAGCTGTCGACGTTGATCAATCCCTGAGGGATGCGCCATCGACTCGACTTCATTAATCATCGTTGGAGGTGATTGAATGCATATTTGACCTCTACAATGAATCGCGGTGGCTTACTGATGTATCGAGCCAGTGCTTTATCCTCCCAGATAAGTCTGGTACCAATTCGCCGACCCCGGAAGGATGGGACGCTCGGTGGGCCCTGGGCACAGTGTGCAGGGCGCCTCCGACCACTGCGCTACATGCGCTCTTTATCAAACGGGATAAAAAATCCAATTTGTCATTATGACTATAATGTCATAGTCATTGTCATCATTGCAGAAAATTCACAAATCGAACGCGAATACAGCGGCGACACCAACCACGTGGTTTATTTGTCCTACTAGATATGAGTTCCTTTCAAATTAGTAAGTGCTGATGATTTGGTGGAAATCAAACCCACCCATTTGCTCAGCTGCGGCCAGCAAAGCCAAATTCTCTTGTGGCTTCCCCTCAGTATCTTGGATCGATATGGAATCTCCTGAACTTGGATGTTCAGTGATTAGCACAGTATGAATCAGAAGCTACCGTAGTCTATTACATGAAGGGGATGGTATTTTGAGTATTCTAACTAATCAAGTGCGTACTAAACTCTTGATAAGGGTCAAATTCTATTGAAATCATCACGAATTACTTATTTAAAATTTAGTTTAAGCTTCAGTGGTTAAAACAATAGTGAATAGTTTTGATGCGACAGTGGTATCTATTGCTAGAGTTTGATATCCCAAAGAAAATTAGGAAGATTTAATATGTTGCATTTTTCTTTTTTTTTTCTCAACCAATCCGTGTATTTCACACACAACGAGAACTACAAGGGTGCCGAATTGTGGAAAATTTCCACGATTCACGCTTTTCACTGCTTCATCGAATTTCTGCGTACGCATTTCCTGGGAGAAAGGACATCATTGCAGTACTAAAGGATCTCATCGAGCACGAGTAACACGAATTTCGGTGAAAGTCTCATAGATTAGATTGTCGTCTATTTGAATATGACGTTGCCCATATGAAGAAATTTCAATCACAGTAAGATCTGCTTGTTAAATGCGCTCAACGAACTTTTCAGGTGATTCATTTCAGTATTCAAATCTACAATGTTGTATGAAACCTAGCAACTAGAGCACGCCGAATTCCGACGAGCATTCTGTTATCCTGATCACACCTGTGAATGTATAAAAGTATAGCACGAACACATCATAACATTCTGTTTGAACCTTCGTCGACTATGGAGCGACGTTCGACAGTTCAGACAAAAACCATCTTAAAGCTGCCTAAAGGATAGATCTGCTCTGAAGTAGGAATTAAAGATTGCTAAGGTCGAATGCTGTAGCAGACACTCATACTACTGGAAACAGACTAGCAGATAAGATGGTATCTCGCTCAAACGATACACAAAACAGTGTTTTCTTGTGATCGTCTCAATTACGCGATAATTTGACTATCAATTAATTGCTACTTCACTCCAGCTGATACCACGTATCATCGTTGTCCTATAAAGCTATAAAGCTGATACCATCGTTATAAAATGGTCTGGAGAGTTGGACATGGAACGATGGTGCAGTATACCCCATTCGTTGAACATTCTAACCAAAAATCAGAAAAATCACAGATAGAGGAATGTTCATTCCATCGGTAGTTACGATTATTGGAAAGACTACTGATAGACCGATCCTAGCAAAACCATAAGTCAAAACGCAAAAATACACATGGAAATGAATTGCCGGAGAAGACAGACAAGCACGCATGGGAAAGTTTTCCCATATCAGTTGACAATATCTTCCAATTGACAACTTACCATCTTTCCTTTTCCTTTTTCGAACAGAATCGGGCTTCTGATCACCGCCTTTTCTGCTTGACTTTTTGCCATCTTGAGCTAAGCTTTGTTTCACTTCAGCTGAAGCTTGACTAGTTGCTTTTTGTTCCAGCACAGACGGTTTGTTCCTAATTGCTTCTGTTTTAACTCTGTTAACTGATCCCGACGAAGAAGCAAACTGCAACGCTAACTGCTGAGTGTTCCTCTGGAATAAAAATATAAAAAGGAAGAAGAGACCACCATTGTAGAATTTTTCCGGTATGAGATGGTTAGATGGAGATCAGTACAAATAAAGTAGAGTTCATTTATGGTGTATAAAATACGGAATATAAAAACTTATTAAAAACTACATTAATAGGCATTCGTCCTTGACTTTTCTCCTCTTTAGGTTGAGCACATAAGCACATGAAGTACATCGATCCGAACAGGAAGACGAGTTGCTAAAAGTTTAGAAGACGTCTACTCGAACACTGAGATCTCAGGCCGTCGTCCATTGTCGCACTCCAAATCGTCATTTGTGCTGATCACATCAAACTTACTACGAGCAATTCCAACATGAGCGGCCGGAATACATTCAACTAAGTATGGCAATAATACCTACCTCTATCTATTAATAGATAACAAAACATGTCGTTTCCATTGCTGCATCAAATCAGAGAGATACCGTTAAGCACTTCTGATACATTTGCTGTGTATTTTGATCCCTGGTTTCATTTTCATTTTGCTACATAATCTACGCATCTGTTTCACCTTAGGTCATTATTTCGAGTGTTATAGAGATAAAATGTTTGTCGAATGCCAGAATTTCATCGGCCAGCTTGATGATGGGGTCTCGGTTATAACTTAGTTATACAAGCACTCCATGAACTTTATATGAAGTCTTTGAAGTATACTCCTTATCATAACTACTTTGAGAACTATGGTCTTAGGTGCACAGCAGTGTTATATGAGAAGAGTAGCTGAGTCAAAAAAGGGTTCTAAGTATTCCAGTTGATCAGTATGGATGGTGTATTTTATCTCTACGATAAGTTGCCTACGAGAAAAGATGAACATATCAACAAAGTATTGGAGTTTTGAAGATAAACTCTGGTAAAAATTCTTTATGCAGACGGAGGAAGATCTGGAAAGGAAGGTGAACCCTCGGTGGCCTGCAGCTTAGAGTGTCCATATGGTGAATAGGTCCAACTGAATGTGACGGTGAGTAGGCAAATTTTAACGGATGAGGATCTGCTTACGACATCATGAAAAAACCCTACAGAGAACTGAGAATGCAAAGGGGCACTAGCACCATTTCCTTGGAACTACTACGTTGCCCCAAAAACAGTGCCAATTTCGTATTTCAAAGACATAACATTCTTCAAATTGATGCTTTGCTCTTTGCGTTCTACACTAAATCTAAAATGAATGGCTGGCATTAGATTTTCGTGCCCATACTTCCGCTCCTTTATTAAGGTGTATTCGAGTGAAACTAAGAAAAAACTGAAAAGTAAATTAAATAAAACATTCTTCCATGGGTCGGTTAACGACCACGTGATAGGACACAGATTTGAAAAATAAAAATTTAAAGAATTCTAAACTAAATTTTGAAAAACTAGAAAATTTTCAAAAAATGAAGATGGAGATGATAACGGTGGATGGGAAAGATCAGAGGCGACATGATGCCAGCGATAGTGATCATTTGAAGACATTAACTAAAGTTGATCCACACTCAACAACCGACTTTGCCAAAGATCTAGGTATGAGGCCTAATATGGACATCAGATGTTATTAGGAAATCAACAGAAATAAACAAAAACAGCTTTGTCAACACTGCTCGGTAAAAAATTGTTACTGTAGGATTATGCTCGACCAAACGTTACAGAATCACTGTTGTAAAAGATGAATGGAGTGCGATGCGGAGTTCTTCATATTATATGCTCACAGGACTTCTTGCCAACCGACTACCACTACAAACACCTCGGCAATTACAGAGAATTGAAATTGAAAAATAAGCCTATTCTGAAAATTCCCTTGGAAATTTGTAGGTTCCAAATGTCTAGAATCCTGTCAATATAAAATATAAAAGGCTGGCTTTTTTTGTTAACGTTGATGTTAACAAATATGTAAACGATGCTCATAGAGCCGCAATGAGCAAGAAAAATAATGCTACATCTAAATAGGATGGAAACCGAGTTCACTAAAAATTTATGGGTCGATGGAAAACAATCGAAATGGTGACTGTAAACGAGATGATGAAAGAATTTTATGGAGCAAAATTGCGCGGTTACTTCTCTTTGACTATGCAATCCTTCGCCTCGTTGTTTTGTAAAAGAGACACGTGCTGAAGTTTCAGCCGCATTAAAAAATTTGTGCACCAACAACAGAGCGCTTCGTCTTCTGAAACAAAATCGGCATCTACAACGTCAAGATGAGCTCAAACCTTTGAAGGCCATCACACCTTCAGGACCCAGGAGATTACACATTCACAGCAACATCTGGATGGGCGAGTTATATAATAAGAAGAGTGACAGATGGATGAACACTGAAGTGGAGTGCAATAGGACGAAAGTATTCTCCAGGAAGACTACCTATAAGATGAATGGACGTGCCTGCGGCTCTCGTTAGCCAGCCGCATTTGCAACTGGAAACAATTTATGGATTATAAGCCTCGCGGATGTCGTCATTTCTGGAGCAAAGCACCGTAACGGAAGACAATCGCGCGAAAAAGAAACAGATGGAGAATGACCTAGGTTCTCCAGTATTCATGAAGACAGGTAGATCAAATTTCCAATGAAACGGATAAAAATATGCGTACTCTAAGGATCTCTGCTGATAAAGAACGATGAGCCAACTATAGGCTGATAGGTGCACTTAGAAGCTGAAGATTGGGAAACGAAAGAACTTTCGCTACAAACAGTTCACTTTTCAACGTTTTCTTTTCTGCCTACTATAATTTCGCGGCAGGTTACTAAGCGAAATACAACCACAACGTTGCTGAGATATTTGCAAAACTTTGGACCGCAGGTGTCTATGGTGGGGAACGAACGCGCTATTGTCTTTTCCGGGGAGTAACGCGTTCACCACCACACCATGCGGGTCCTTCGTTTCGCCTGTCTCTCAGCTATTTCTATCGATCTTTTTGCCACAACAATCACCCGTCAGCGAGGTTGATCTGGGGAGCCCAAACCGGCATAGAACCCAGTTAAGCTGTGGCTGTAGTTGAAATCACAATGTTTAACGTTTTCTTTTCTGCCTTCTATAATTTTCATAAAATCATAAAAGTTCATTTTTTTGCTGAAAAATAGTTAAACGACGTTGATGCTAAGGTCAACGTTAGCTAAATTAGTCTTAGACCAAATAATGAAGCATTCACGTGGCTATTTAATTGAACCACTAGCTAACGAATTTATTATTATAATTAACAACCTTATCTGGGAGGATAGCAGCACTGGCTCGATACATCGGTAGGCTACCGCGAGTTATTCTAAAGACCAGATATGCATTTAATCACCCCCAAACGATGCTTAATTAAGTCGAATGCGTGGCGAATCCCTGAGAGATTGTTCAACGCCGAGAGCTTTATCCTTTTATTTATCCTTTAATTAACAATCTTATGTACAACAAGAAAAAATTTAGATCTCCGGCCGTTACTACTAACCACACCTCAAAAACACCATAACTGCAACGAATTGTTCAAGTCCTTATCGAAACATCTTCTACGATATGATGTTTCAGTATCGTCAGAGTCCGAATCTGAAGACGATGCCCTTCCTACACGCGGTGCAGGAAATACTCGCTCTCCAGTACACAATGCTACCATAGAAGGTGTTCCTTCGTGAATGCTAGAAAATTGCGAATCATATAACACGATGCTGGTTAAGTCTCAAACGGAAGAAATCTTCTTTCCAAAAGCAGCAAACAACTACTATGTTAACAATGATAAAATCCTAGTGATTCTGAAACAAATAACTTACCTCACACATGGCACAGAACATTCAGCAACCTTCCTAGAAAATGTGGGCACCTTCTCAGTCGCTCCGCAGGCCAAATCAAATGCGACTAGATCTCCCTCAGATGTACCAGAGAACAAATAATGCCCAGTACTAAAAAAAACCATGCAATGCAAGAATGCAATGTATTGCAAGAAAGACGAAATTGGCTTACTAATCGGTCACAGCACTTTTATATTTATGGTCGAAAGATCCAATTCACTTCGAATAGAAACGAAAGGATGTAAACTACATTTTAAGAAAGGAGTTAACGAAAGAAATTCGCACCTATCCACTTCAAAGCATGTTCTTTGATTTGTTGTTAAAGGACGCAGCATGTTAAACAAGAGGTTGCCTGGCATCCTCATGTCATAACACGAAATCTCATTCTTCTGAAAAATTGTGATTGACAAGAAATGTCAGAAGACGTACGTGTTGGACATCCATAATATGGTCACGATTCAGAGAATTATTCTAGCAAATTTATTTATACGTTCTTTTGAACTGACCTCTCCTAACGGTTTACCACCTCATTGTGGTTGGGAGGTATTCCCGGATGTTGGCCTGCGATGTACAGAGGAGGGATTCATCTCCCTGGCACTGGCAGAACCTCCCAAAGTGAGAAGTCCGGTATTTCCATCAGGAAGTCTAGCTAAGAGTAAACCAGTACCAGGATCCACCACCGTCCTGGTATCAAAGTCGCATGGTGGCAAATCTCTCACTGATCCACAACGGCTGCGGCTGCCTGTGGTGGAGAAGACCTGGGGCAGTCCTTGGCCAGGCTGACCTCGGGATTCCAGGAAGCCACAATGGCTTAAACAGCAAAATTCCGAAAAAAACGGAGATTATGCGAGGGTCGCACAATCGGCGAGGACGGGCCATCCAAGTATCCAAGTAAGTAAGCACTGATTTTGTTGAGCTAATGTATGTGTACAGCTTAGAATATCGCAAATAAAGGCTTCCCTCTTCCTCCAATCTTGCTATAAAAATCAAACTGTAACTCTTCCTACAGCAGTAAGAAATAAGAGTTGCAATTGTCAGCGAAAAAGTAAATCGAAAAAAGGTGGCGAAGAAGATTGTTTTAAATAGGATGCTCAAAATAAGAGATATTCAGCAAAGACCCACTTTACGCGTAGCGACGAACAAACGCTGGCCATCATATGAGTAGTGCATATCCGTTATGCCAGCTGACTCTGTGGAGAACATACACTCCAACGAGTTCGTACGATCCGAGTAGAAACCCACTATAAAACAAAAACTACGTCACCTTACAACCACAATGATGCTGATATATTTGCAAAACTCCGGACCACATGTGTCTGCGGTGGGGATCGAACGCGTTGTTATCCTTTCCCCAAGAGCTAACGCGTTCACCACCACACCATGCGGGTTTTTCGCCTTTCCTTCATATAGTTTTCTCTCTATCAGTGCAATCAGCAGATATTATCTACGCTCTACGATAATAACAAAATTCCCAAACAGTAACTAACACCAAACTTCCATCCTCCAATTCAGTACGCACTTATTTTTTAAAAAATTTGACAAGCCGTGACGCATAAGTCTTACTGTACAAAAAAAATACTTCAGTGAAATGAAGCAAAGAGATGCGAAAGATTGCAGCACCGATACGTCAGTAATTTATGCAGCAACGCAAAATATACAATTTTCTTTCCAAAAAATGTCTATTACTACACTGTTCTCGGCGAATCTCCTCGATATTTCTGTTTTCCACATACAATAGTCTCTACGTGAGTAACAAAAAGTTGTTTTATCGATAGCAAATAAAGCTTCAATTTTGCTTACGATCTATCTAACACTCTTTTTCGAGCTAAATTTAATAGTCTATAATTACGAAATTATAATTTCTATAACTATAAATTGCGTGCTAAAGCTCTGTAATGCTTAGTCCGACGTCCTGCATACGCTTTGGATATGTTATCGATTCAATATGAAAAGTATAGGAAAAATCCTCTACGTGGTAAAATAAACAATCTAAAAGGGAAACCTCTGAAAGAGAGTTGATGAAAATTCACACTCGGCCATTCTCTCCAAAGAGAGTAAAAATCAACCCACATTTGACTCTATACGTCAAGAATATAATGGAATTTTTAAGGTGATAGTAATCCACTACGGTTTTAGCGCCATTATTAAGCCTTAATATGCACCAACTACAATTCTGTCGATGGATTCAAAAAGGCCTCATTAAAAACCGCATTCGTTCTTTTGTTGTTCCAACGTTTAAAGTGGAATCAGCTTCGTCCATATACATGGGCGACATCAAGCTTTCGGTATGAGGTTACCTATTTTCATCTATTTGCAGACCGGATGCCCATGGGCACCTCCATGTTCCATGTATTCTGTCACGTAAGACTACGCACAGTCACACTTAGGCATAACAGATCGGTTTGTCACAGAGCTCTACCAAAATTTACATGCAGAATATAACCCGTATAACCACAACGATGCTGAGATATTCGCAAAACTTGGACCCCGGGCTAGATCGAAATTTACGTATTACACACTGCACCACTGAGGCCCTTGCCCTGCCTTTCTCTCAATTACTTTTCTACCTAACACTGCCATCAGCAATCACCCGTCAGCGAGATTGATCTGGGTGGCACAAATCGGCATTGAACCGGTTAAGCTGAGGTTGTAGCTTCCGGGGTTTGCTTATTGCTCAGGATTCTTGTTGTGCTCGTATTTGACATAATACCCTGCTATAAAAAATTAGGCAGTAAGCAAAGGTTAAAACATTATGAAATGTACAATAGACTTCTTTCGAACCACGTTTTCCACAACATTTAAAAACTACCTGCTGATGCAAGAACTGAAAAAAAAACTCTCTATGTTGCAGTGGAGAAGAAAATGTATTCATTCACGAAGTCAGCATGCTATACTATGTCCCAGTGTAATTTAAAATGTTCAGTATGTTAACTGAGATCTATCACCTAGGAAGCCCTCATGTAGTTCAACGTCAAACAAGATTACATTCAGAATGCGCAAAACCTTACCAATAAATGGGTAAATGAACAAGAAGTGATAACGAGCTCACCATTTCCATCATAAGATCCTGCAGCGTATACTCCGTCAAAGGCTTTGTTCATTGCAATACACGACACAATAGACTTTTGGCCACCGGTCTGCTTCTCTGTAATTGATATTCTTACGCTTAATTTCAGTTAGAACTGTAACAGCAAGCTTCTTTCACAATGCTACAAGAAAAACACACACACCCCAATAGCGCAACAATGATTTACTTTCAAGTGGTGCAAGAAGTCGCAAGTGAACTGGCAGATAACATATTTAGCTCTTAATGACAGTCATACATGTGCTAGTCTAACTCAGGCTTTATATTGTCCACAGTGTTAATTCCATTCAAAAAAAAGTCAAAATATTCACGAGAACTTTTGAAAATTACCGTAGGTCTTTATGGAAGTATGGTGTCTTCCAGGGCGGTCAGTGTCCCAAATGCGGATGCAGCTATTATATCCACCATATAAACGAGTACCATCATTTGAAAAAGTAATAGAATATGCTGCAGTTAACTCGTCCTAAAAAGCTATTCTGAATAAGCCTTAGTGGAGCGCTGCTTCAATAAAGAAGCTACAGAAGTAGTAAACAACAGCAATACTGAAACAGTTACAGTTCACGAGAATTGTTACTGCTGACAACTTCCAAGTCTGAAGAGGAGGAGGGAGGAAAGGTCACTTAGGGATTCCATGAAATGCCCGCAACACGCATGTAAACCAATTCGCTCGACCATACATTCGCTAAACTAAGCGCCTTCCACTTCTCCTCGCTTGGTAAATAAGTCCCACATATATTTAGGTCTCTCTGATATACTAAAGCTTGAATACTACTTGCGACCAGAACCTGGAAATGCTCTATGACAGCTATACAAGAATTATGTGAAATATAACCATAAGAATGATAGTTTTTGGTTAGTCGCGGGCACAAAGCACACCTGAGGTTCCGAGTTTTACTCATGCCTAAGCATTCTTGTGGTTTTATCCAACGTAGTACCTCGTCATTAAAAAATACTGGGCTGCAAATAGAAGTTGAAACACTGTAATATCTAAGGATTACAGAAGGAATTAAATATAGTGAAATTGCTCGTCTATAAGGTATTTCCTGTCGCGCGAGTCTTTTCGCCATTATCATGACACCAGATGCCCAACTTCAGTGAATAAACCCTTCACGTAGCAATAATAATCCAATAACAATGTCATTGTGATGTTCAGAGGATACGTTTAAAAATATGTACAACGTGACCAGTATATAATGATGCCATGGAAAGCAACAATGAGCAGTAATTTTTTCCACGTTTGAACTGACACGTTCTTCGTACAGAAACCTTTATACGGTTAATGTTTCGGCACCTTTGCCCTCTTTAGAGCCGAGTTGATCCGAGTCGACGGCCTACAACCTGGTCGTTGTGACGATGTGGATGTTCATTGTGCCTTCGAGTCGAATCCAGTGGAGGGAGCACCGCTCGGATGGGAACGTTCACTTAGCGGTGCCCTTTCATAGAGGACGGATATTGGTGGATTCAATACAGCCTGCATTTTGCGGGCAATCTGTGCTGTGGCAGGCGGTAGTTCATTCGCTGGCACGTGTATATCATATCAATATCTGAAAAACCGACTTGTATTAAATCTCGGTAACAATAATCACTAGTTTTCTATATAACTGAGCTAATATAAGGTTGGTATAAAAACTATTTATTCGGCTAAAGTTTTGGGGCCATCGCCTTCTTCAGAGCTGCGTTGGTACGAGTCGATGGTCTACAGCTTATCGTTGTCGCATAGAGTCGAATCTAGTGGAGGGTTTTTGAGATATTGTCAAGCTACGTGCGAGCAAATAAAGTACCGATTGGTACAAAACGCATTACCTGCCAAAAAGTAGACCAAATTGGGATGGGAAAAATAGATCTACATCCGTCCTCAGCAAAGTGGCACAGCTGAGTGAAGTTCCTCATGCGAGCGGCGCTCCAATCACGGGATTCGACTTGATGAGCGTAGGAATACCCACATCGCACTAATGACCAGCTGTGGATCGTCGACATAAATCAACGCAGCTCTGAAGGAGATGAAGGGCTCAAAACTTTAGTGGAATAAGGTTTTGTACCAACGTCGCGTTAGCTCTATCATGTAGAAAATTACTGATTATTGTTTTGTTGATTTCACGATTTCACGTTCACCACCACACCATGCGGGTCCTTTGTTTGCAAATATCTTCGTAACTGTTTTAGCATACATGAGATATACTGACGACTAGCTGTCATTTGAGTGTAAGTATAGGTCAGTTCTGTCGACACTATATCAATTTGGACAGCGTTTAAAAGCATTCATAAAGAAAAGAACGGTTCAAGCAGCAAGACAGCCCAAAAGCAAATGGTGGATGCAAGACAACGAATCGACTGAACAAAGTTCTGGGATCGGCATACTGTGTGATGACGTGTCATATAAAAAACTCAGTTCTAATACTGACTTCCCACTGATTTGACGACTCTTCGTGGTGAGTTGATTCTTACGTGTCTGTGATGGGATAGATGGTGGGCATTATGGCCGGGTTGGTATGCTAAGTAACATTCCCAGCCCATAACTCAGCAAAGCAGTGAATCTGTGCGCGCAAGAGAGATGAATGCAGAGTTCTAATGACCACTATTTCAGAAACGATCTCTACTTTGACCAATTCCAAAGACGTTTGTTTTCCACAAATATGCGAAATTCTCGCGCTTATTCCATTTGGAATAACTCAACCTTCACTCACCAAATGATTGATCCCTCTGTAGGAAGAATACCTCGTGCCGTATTCAGTCCATAAATGTATTGGATGATGCTTGGCAGTGGTAGCGAGAAACTGCTTCTCACATCCATTGAACAACCACTTTATATCGTACGTTGCATCACCCAGGGGAATCTTCGCCACCAGTGATAACTTCTGCGAGTGGAATCTACCATCAAAGGAAAGCTCGGTTCAGAACAAAACGTTTATTAAAAAACTTAATAAAAAAAGTTCAAAAACAACCATACATGTTCTTCATCCAATCCAAAAATCCTTGCCCAGTTATCGGCAGACGTTGTCCCAATATATGTGCCGGACGGAGAGAATCTACACAGCTTCAGAAAATTATTAACCGGAATTGCTGTCGATATGTAACTAATTCGAGCACAGTTGAATGCGGTCACAGCACTAGAAAAAATGATAGCAATGTATTTTAAGTATTGGTGAGAATGTTGGGTTTTTAAAGTGGCAAATATTCCTCAACAGCTGGAGCATTTGAGAAGCTGGAAACGTCAGACATAGGAAAGAGCTCGCCCTACCGCTCTTTAGAAGTGAATATAGCATTCATATCTACTAATACTTTCAAAACAGTTCCATTTTAACTTTTCTTTATCTTGACACACTCAAAAAATTGAGATTGCAGGTTCCAAATAAAATTTGACTTCACCTTGAAGTAATAACAAAATCGACCGAGCTGACAAAGATTTGCAGATTCCTCTGCTCTTCACCTCAATTAATACAATGTTATACCTTTTTATTTTCTGCCTACTATAATTTCGCGGCAGGGTACTAAGCGAAATACAACCACAACGTTGCTGATATATTTGCAAAACTAAATAAAAAGGTATAACATTGTGATTTCAACTACAGCCGCAGCTTAACTGGGTTCCATGCCGATTTGGGCGCCCCAGATCAATCCCGCTGACGGGTGACTGCTGTGGCAAAGATCGATAGAAATAGCTGAGAGACAAACGAAACGAAGGACCCGCATGGTGTGGTGGTGAACGCGTTACTCCCCGGAAAGGACAATAGCGCGTTCGTTCCCCACCATAGACACATGCGGTCCAGAGTTTTGCAAATATCTCAGCAACGTTGTGGTTGTATTTCAATTAATACAGCCTACTAAGAGCTGAAAGGCGACGTCTTGAGAGCTGAAAATGGCTAATGCTTCTACACCGCATGAACCACGTGATTTGTACGGATCGGATTCTGTAGAACATACGAGAAAGAATCATAGATCTCTTATCTGCGAGCAGTCTCAAATCGGTTAGTGGCAAAGCTATGTGATGGCTTAAATATCCCAGGCAAAGGGTTAGACATGGTTTAAAGCAATATGTGCACTTGACAGGAACAAGATTCAGATTCGTGTACTTTTCCTCCTTCCTGAGTAGCAGGTTGTGTCGTTCATGACGATTAGGTTCAAAGGTACGATTAACAATTTCAGGTTGATAAAGTAGGAAGCAGATAACTTCTTCCAAATAGGTTTCATGTCCTCATAGAGAGGTTATAATTACACCCACAAACACAGAAGAACCTGAGGGAAAGAAATCTATTCAACCTGAACAGTAATTGTGGGTTAGTTTTCATCAAAAACAGGAAAATCGGATAAAGGAACTCAAATTGAAATCGTCGTGCTCTTGGTTTTCTTCGCGAGAACAGAGCACACCACCGGATGTCACGGGCGAGAAACAGAGGTTGAGGTGGTGTTACGCGTTCAATTTTTCCGACGGCTGATGGGATATTTATGATACAGCAGATGAAAGAAAGGGTTTGGATATCAGTTAAGAGTCGTCGTACGAACAGAATAATATCAACCTGGCGTGTGATCCTTTAGTAAATAAACATATATGATTTATAATAATATACCAATCGTGTGGAGACATGGACACGCTGTCTAATCTGAAAACGGATTCGCGAACTGCTGGCATGGATTGCTGAAATTAGAAGCGATTGTAAAATTATCGAAGTAAATATGTAAGGAAGGAAGCAGAGTGATTAAGCACTTAATTAACTTAAAATTTTTTAGCAGAAGTAATAGAATAGAAGTAAGAGTAAAAAAGGCAGAACTGATATGGACATGCCTGAGCTCTTGAGACTTTACGTGCTGCAACGTTATCCCAAACTGTTGATGACGAAGCGTATTTGTATAAAGCATTGGCGGGACTTGATAAGCTTTTCTGAAGTTAGTTGAAAAGCATCCATTTAAAAAATGTATTCGACGTTTGAACTTAGTAAGTTAACTTCGAATCATTCTAAATGAGTAGTAGAGTGGTGCAAACACGATTGCTCAGTTCGAGGGCAGGATAGGAAGGCCAACTTTGGTACAATGAATCGGCCACATGTCAAAGCAAGTTAGGTGCATAAGAGCGAGCAAAAAAAATTTTTCATAAATCACTGGCTATAGTGAGCTCACGAAATAAACGGGACGGTAGGTGAAGAAAGTAATTATGTGGTGACTAAAATGTGGCTTCCAGCCACTATACAAAACATCCCGTAGATATTTTGTGCACTACAGCTAGAACACATCAACCCTACGAAAATGTTTAGAATTGTACCAAGCAAATTGGAACCAACGACAAAGAAAAGGAAAAGTTAAGATTTGCTTAGCCCATTGATTACATAGGAACAGTGAAAACTGCACTGTGATCTGATCTGGTCATTTGACACACAATGGACCATGCTGGCCTTTTGATAATTACAGATTCATCAATAACTCGTAGTTAAGGATTTGAAGTTGAAAGACCCACAGAAAAGCTTTCGCTGTATTGCTTCAAGAGTATCCATAATTTCCAGGGATTACTCCGTTATTATTAAAGTTCTTATGAGTTAAAACTTATGAAAAATTAAGATCACAAGATAAATTTTCAAAACCTCCCTAAAAATTTACTTTAGCTGAGATTGCTAGTATAAAGTGGAAAACGGGCAAGTTAACAGAAGCCCATGCATTGAAATAAATGCATACAGCACTCGATATGCGTCAAAATGGAAGGTGTTTGAGCTGTCAAGATAAAAAAGATTTGTTCACATACCGTGAGTGTATGAGGTTCGTTCTCTGGCAAAGAACAATGAGGGAAAGAATCGCCAGCTAAAGATGGTTGATTTGGACACGATTGTGAAGCCGAATAGATTTTCTGTATACCCTTAATTGAATATAGGACACTTTAGGTTACAAGAACAGCATTAGACATATGTACGTTTCCTTTCTATTTCAAGAACAAACCACAAACTTGGGCAATTTCCAATTCTCTTTGAAGAGCTCTTCGTTCACGTCTATTTAGTTTCTTTTGAGGATCATTAAGCTTTGCTAGGATAGCAGAAATAGTGAAACTGCTATCAGAATCCAAATTCTGCAAAAAAAAGATTTAGATATTTCTACACTCATAAAAGGGTAAAGCTCTCGACGTTGATCAATCACTGAGGGATGACTTTATTAAGGATCGTTGGAGGTGACTGAATGCATCTGGCCTTTACAATGACTCGAGGTGGCCTACCGATGTATCGAGCCAGTGCTGCTATCCTCCCAGACAATTCTGGCACAAATTTGCCGACCACCAAGGGATGGAACACTTGGTAAGCCATGAGCGCTGGGATCGATCCTACGTGTGTATCGCCCCTATTGCGCACATATCGCAAATAAATAAATACAGTAAATACGTAAACGTAATGTAAAAAAATATGAACAAAAGTAAATATAAGTAAATATGTGAGTGCGTGTACTCCGCGAGCTATTGTAAAGGTCAGATATGCATTCAGTCACCTCCAACGATGGCTAGTGAAGGCGAATGCATGGAGCATCTCTCACGAATTCACAAACACCGAGAGCTTTATCCTTTAGTCGTAAATATGAATTTACACTTCTACCGACTTTCGCACAAAAAGCAACACTCGAACTCACTTAAACTATACTCATTTTTACATCACATCTGTACTTTCCTAACTTTGCTAGTGTTTTCCAAACCAATCTCACTCACCACAGAAGTTCCTATTTTTTATTGTATCATATTTAGAATAACAACGAAAAAAATGTCCATGTACTAAAGTTTCTTACTGAAAGGAACGTTCAATGGTGACGTCTCAAATGTTCAAACTTTTTGCTGCTACTCGTATTACTATAGCTATTACTGCATGGGAATACAGGATGTTTCCTGACAGTAAACCAAGACAAAAAAGGAATTATATATAAGGACTACCTACAAATCGCAGTCAAGGCCAAAGAAATCCGTTGGCAGTACCATGTCCTGTGCGCCAACCTTTGTTTATTGCGAAAAACGTTTTACGGAAGCTAACACTAATCTACGGGAGCTTGTTGGTCAAGCAATATCCTCCTGAATTATGACACTAACCAACTGCCACTGTAACTGCACTACAACGACAGAGCTCTTCCAGTGCTCGCTTAGAATTGGTAGAGGGAAAGGTGTTAAGCCTTGTGACACTATTCCTCAAAATCACTCAGCGCAAAACTTCAATAGATATTGAAGACGCTGAAATGGGAACGTTTGCAACATCAGAAAATTCCTTCTGTCTTCATTTTCTTGATATAGGCTTCTTTCTTTTTGAAAACTACCACTGAAGCAAATATTGTGTACAAAGTTCAAAACCTTAACAGAGCAGTTTGTGGAAGGGCACCATAAATAAATCGCAAGCAAAGTCATTGTATGAAAAAATCATGGAGCGGCAACGAATGAATCGACATAGGTGAACGATTTCGGTTAGAAACAATTCACTGGTACTCATAGATATTATCATAGACGACATATAGAAAAGGTTTACACCTCATCGTGGATGGGAGGCCTGTGTGTCGGAGTGCGATGTACAGCGGAGGGATTCATCACCCAGAAGAATCTCCCAAGGTCAGAAGGTGTCCAGCGTTTCAATCAGGAAGCCTAGCTAAGAGTAAACTAATACCAAGATCCACCACCGTTCTGGTATCAAAGTCGCATGGTAGCAAATCTCCCTCTGATCATCGAGGGCGGCGAGTGCCTGTGGTGGCGACGACCTGGAGCAGTATGTATTCTTTCTTGATAAGCTTACACGAGGTTGATAAATATATTTATTTTCGGCTAACGTTTCGACGTCTTCGTCTTCCTCAGAGCCGGTGATCCGAGTCGATGGTCCATGCTTGTTGTTCGCCTCGACGTTGCGTCTTCGCCTTCGTGTCGAGCCAGATCTTCCTCAGTGAGCCATCTTCTCGAATGAGGCAGTTACTCGGCACTTCAAAGGACCACAATGGCTAAACCAGCAAAAATCCAAAGAAAGAAGAACCAAGCATCCAAGTAAACAAGATATATGACAGTCGCGACGGGTCCGAACGGAAATATATTTTTTAAAATTTCTACACGACCCGTCCTAACTATTGAGGAAAACCTGAAATTTCTTCCATTCGATTGGTTTCCTTGCACCCTTACCCATAAAGATCTTCGCACCTTCTAGCACATAGGTTCGACTACTGCTTGAGAATTTTTGGTTTTCTTTAGGAGTGTTATTGAATGCCAGTCGAGTCGATTCGCTCTTTTCAGAAAACCGCGGTAGGGCGACGGTGAACACATGTTATGGATATGTATGCCTTGACGTTCAGGAGGAATCCCGACAAAAATTCCCAAACAAGTAAGACACCAATCTATGGGAACAATTCTGAGTTCTCACTGATTTTGAAGACGCTTTCTCCAAAATAACCTGCTATATAAATTTAAAAAAAATGAACATAAGCCTGTGTGACTTGCACTTCTCCCTGAAGAACTCTTCGTTCACGTCTGTTCTGATCCAGTTCAGAATCACATACCCTCGATAGCATAGAAGCAACAACACTATTTACTGCAAGTTCATCATCAGCGTTCAAACTCTACAAAAGAGTTGATTATCATTCGGACACTACCGATGAAATGGATTCACAACACTCCTCACTTCAGCAAAAGATGCATCAGCTGAAATCATAAAAGCTTCTTCGTCTTCCAGCGCACTTTCTTTCTTCGCTTCTCTTACGTCGGGAACGACCACTGGATGTTTGTCAGCTTTGCTGAAGTGCTGCTGAAATGGAAAAAAAACCCAGACTACTTGAAAGTGTATTAAAATTTCTCATTAATAAAGTTATTAACAATGAGAGCGATGTTTTATAAACCTGTGTGACAAGGCGTTTAAAAAGCCAAGAGAGAAAAAATACAGCTAGTAAAAAGGTGAGTTCGTTAATATGCATTGAACCAACAAGGATATCTGCAGAGTGATCATCAATATCGTTCCCTGAACCTTCTCCCGCTTCTGTGAACTTGGTTTGAGCGGTTGCTGCACCGCATAAATCCATGGAAAAATACGAAAACTAAAAGAGTCCATATTCAGAAGTCCACTGTCAACAAATATGCAAATAAGTGATGAAAAGTCACATCGTAACAAAATCAATCAGAGAGTTAGAAGATACAATGATTCCAGAAGGTGAGTTCAGTGAGCCCACCTAAAAAGTGCTTGGAATTTCAGCAGCGAATAAGAAACTGAGCTACGAAGATATTCTCCCATTTAACACAGTTGAATAGTACTCCTGACTTTCCAGCTGACCAATGGCGAGGATAGTACATGCAACCAATGGTACACTTACTTCTATCTGCTTTTTTGCAGGTATTATTCAAGCTACTCCTTATTTCTATAATTCTGCTACTGCTATTACCGCTTAGGGTCTAACAGTTGAACCCGTGTTGTTACCGCATCTAATTGGACTTAATTTTCCGTCACATACGCTATGAGAAGATGTCAACTCATGTCGGCCAATACACCCTCGCAACCCACTGCCCCGCTTTTATACAGTGCTTTTCGGATTGCGATTGGCCCATATACGTATTTTTTGGTAAATTCCGACCTTTTCCTACATTTACTCTCAGTTTTAAGCAATATGCTAAGGTTCTGGACCATTTCGAACTCGAGTTTGTAATGAAGGAGCTCGCCAACTATACTATCTTGGCGCTGTCAGCGCTACGTAGTTCGTTCAACAACATGTGAGTGTGCTGCCATTTTCACGTGTTCCCACTCCATACAATAACCAAGACTCATTATAGTAAATGAAAATGTAATGAAAAAATTACATATTCGGATCGATTTTTGTATACATAACCCGTTCCATAACCCATGAGCACGAGTGTGTCGCAGTGGTTAGTTAGAGGCGCCCTGCAATACACATGGGACCGATCCAGCGCCAGAGGCTCACCAAGCCTTCCATCCCTCCGGAGTCCGCAAATTGGTACCAAACTTGTCCAGAGGATAGCAGCACTGGCTCAATACATCAGTAGGACACTGCGAATACAGGCCAGATATGTATTCAATCACCTCAACGCTGCATGATGAAATCGACTGCATGGAGCATTCCTCAGAGATTGATCAACGCCGATTGCTGTATTCTTTATCCTTTATAACTCACTCCGTCACGTCTGGACGCTACAGTGTGTATACCGATTTCGAAGAAAGGACCGTATGAACACCATAGTGTCCATGTTCAATTTAGTAGGTTTGCGATTTTGTTTTACCGCACTATGCATACTCATTCAACAGCTAATCGAAAGCAGATCAAAACAGTGAGGGTGAGACCAGAAAAGCCACCTTCTACACTTAATGATTTACAAAAGAAAACTTTTTCTCGAGAAATTTCACTGACCGGTAATTAGACTAACAAATTATTGATACTTCATTTTAATAGCTATAGTTATTACATATAATGCGTGGATATTGAAATACCGAAATACACTAAAGACAAGCTGCAAAGTACTTCTAAGCCCTCACAGCAACCTGTTTACATGATAGGCCACACTAACACACAGCAAATAGTACTCCACATCATTCATTCTTGTAGAACGGTAGAGCAAAATCTCTTCTAGAATCCTGTCATGTTCAAAACACCTCAAGTCCTCAAAGGATTGAGAAAAGACTTTTTATTGTCAAAAAACCAGAAACTTGGCATCCGACGAAAAAATACGCGTAACCTGTCGGACCGTCCACGAAAAAACGCGCCCGGCGGAGTGGGCTAACACATAACGGACGATGTTTTTGATGACTAAGGTCAATTCTTGTGTAGTTAAAGTACTTTAGTAGCTAGGAATTAAACGGTAATAAAGAAGAGACTTTGTTTTATCGCTGTAATACTATGCATATTTTACTATGTATATACGTGCACGAAGCCGGTATATTTTTATAAACTGGTCATAACTGATGCCTGGACTCTGATGGTGAATGAACAAAGTATACTGACCAGAGAACCACTCATATGAACCGACAAACACTAAATAGTTGAAAGCATTCTTCTGTGTGTGCCTTCAGATAGGAATTGTTAGGCTCCCGTGGCTGAGAGCAGGACTCCAGCAGAGCCTATGGGTTGGATCCTATTGCACCGCAGATCATGTCCAGAACCAATTTCTTTGGTCATCTCCATTTTGGGAATAACATATGCCACAATGGATAAAGCAAGTTGTACAAGACCAGACCACTTGTCAAACTTATTAATAGACAGTGAATCTACAGATTTCGCAGATGTGTGTTGATATACGTTCTACGTTCTTTGTAATGAATGCGAAACCGAAGCTGCATATCCTCGAATCTCAACAACTGATTGAACCCAGGCAGTAAGTCGCACCTATGTGGGGTGTCCCTAGATAGCGGCTAAGTGGCTGAACGCTGACCAGTGGATCTCGTGTTCTTCTGAGATGCCGGTGGATGCAGAGAATGGACTCCATATTTCTTCTACACTGTTTCAACTACCGTTTGCGGTTCTACCTTTACCTACATATAGCCTTGTGCGTGTTCGCGGTCAGCGTGTTTGCACATTTGGAGACTCGCTGTTTTTCTTCAATAAGTAGACACAAGATTGGTATTACAGAAATCATTAGGATACAATGGCCGATGTTTCGGCGGTTTCATCTTCTTCAGAAACTGGAAAAATCAAATTGACATGCGATCTACTCAGCAAAACACTTTCATCGCCCCAGCAGGTAAAACTTAACAAATAAATTTGTATTCGCATAAGAAACAGCTTCACGTAAAAACTACCGTTTATTCGATGTAAGTATTTAAGTTAGTTGATGGATAGCAGCCGCACAGAGCAATACATGGATGAAAACTGTGTCTGCGTCAGGTCATTGGATCAGCCTGAGGTATGGCGCCAGGTCACGCGTGATGATAAGACACTCCTCTTTGCGGTTCATTTTTGAATTTTTGGAATTGATCCCAAACGCTTAAAGAGTTTTACGCGCTGGTGTTTTCGATTCCTGCGTGATAGTGACTCCTACTTTAAAATCTTCTCCTTTGTGTTCCTGCATCCTATGCGCGCCTAGTGGAGTGTTTGGTTTTAATTTAGATTTACCGACTAGGTGTTCTTTCATGCGGACGCAGAGCGGTCTACCCGTTTCGCCAACGTATTCGTCCCCACACCCTTTACAAGAGATTAGGTACACCGTACCCAAACTCAAACAATTACCGTCTCTAGCGTTAGATTATATGTGCAGATTATATCTGACAAATCAATTCGGCCAAAACCTGCCTACTCTGCAAAAAGTAGGGTCCATCTGTATTCCGAGAGAAACTGGCAAACTATCCTTGATTATACCCCCACTGGCGGCTCAGCAAGCTAACCTTGGGAATGAATGGCCAAGCACAGAGAACAAGTGAGTCTCAATTCATTGACCTCGACAGAGCTCCCGATTCAGCAGTGTTAGGTAGGACAAGTACAGAGAATTTATGAAAATCTCAAGTCTATTAGCGGCCCCATAAATGAAGCGGATATAATCGAAGGTGACTGATAGGATTTCGGTATCTGCAGCTGTACCGGTTTCTTGTGCGTGGTTTATAACCTATTCACCAGAAATATTTCTTCCGTACATCAATGAAGCAGAGTAGAGCCCAACGAACTTAATAGAAATTCTGTAGATACCACATCTTTTGGACCATGTACGAACCACAGAGTGGTGAAATTCTGTTAGAAGTACCATACGCCTTTTATCCAAGCCCTTATGAACCGCGGGAAACAGTCCACATGTATTCCGGGAGCCTTAAAAAAAAAGAAGAACGCCATGATAACAGTGGCCGTGGATCAGAACGCTAACATCCCCCAGAATTAATATAAAATTCCCTTGGAAGCTTCGCCTTGTAGTAAAGTTCACCATCTTTTCGAAGAGTGCCAGTGAAAGAAATAGTAGTAACAGCGCCCAAGGAAGAAAGAGAAAAACCAAAACTTCAAATCAATTGGAAAGAAATAAACACAAGAATTTATGGTTCTACAGCGAACAAATTGAAGTGGTAAGCTTCTCGATACAGAGGCCAGAACAATTGCTTGAAATGAAAATGTTGAATTATATGAAGGAAAAATTATGCAGAAAAGAGGGCAGCATGAGAAAGTTTCGGAACTCTCACACAGGATTCCGGTAAACCACCTGATCCAGCACTCATCGCTAGCTTTTTTGGCCCACTGATGCTTCTAGACTATGCTGCACAGCTGTGACCAGGGTTGCCACTTTAACCACATCAAAAAATCTGCACACTAACTTAAAAGCAACCGCACAATAGCTCTCCGATTATAATCAGCACACACAATATCAAGGCTGACTGAGCAGTCCAGATGGTCTAAAATTGTGTCCCACTCAAGATTCAAGGAAATACGAATCTAAAAGCAGCACAGACATCATGGACTAAGGCTATGGCCACTGACCCATGTAATCATTATGACTCAGGGATCATGTCGATCTCGAAGAAACGAAATAAATGACCCAGATGGTGCAGTGGTGAAGTGCGCTGCTCTCCGGTAAGGACAACAGCGCGTGTTCGTTCCGCACTGCATACACCTGTGGTCCGGAGTTTTGCAAATATCTCAGCATTTCATACGAGAAATAAATGATAGATGTGCAGGAGTCCGCACTATTGGTGATGAAACGCCATCCATAGGTTCAAATCTCCAAGCATTAAAGCTCGTTAGTTATAGGTAGAATTAGGACTTAGCATCTAAACCTGACTAATATTGAATAATATGAATTCTATTTCCGAAGCTCCAAAAATCAAAATAAAAGTTGGCTGAAAACAACCACAGAGCCCGAATCAGTCAGGTTCTGCAGAATTAGGGATGAAGCTCTCGGTGTTTATCAATCACTGAAGAATGTGCCCCGTACCTGACTCCATAAAGCATCATTGGAGATGACTGAATGCATATTTGGCCTTTACAATGACTCTAGGTGACCTATCAATGTATCGATTCAGTGCTGCTATCTCCCAGGCAACTCTAGTACTAATCTGCCGACCCTGGAGAGATGGAAGGCTTGGTGGGCGTTGAGCGGGGATAATTCCATGTGTATTGCAGGGCGCCACCTACCACTGCGCCACACCCGCCTTCTTCGCGTTCTGCAGGATATGAGATTAAAAATCTACTAGTCGAACTCCTCTTCACTCACTCCGTAATATTTTTACTGCTGATATGGGTAAAGTGACGTCATGTCCACTCGGATCGATGCTTCATCGTATGGAACACAACATTTCCAAAGGAGAGGCACTCTGATTAGAGCCATAGGATGGAATTTAAGGTGATACAGAATATTTTGCCGACAAACAGTTCATTTCTCAATAAATCTGTTTTAGCGATCACATATGTGTAGATATGACAAAGTAGCTACATGACAACAGTTGCTAAGGAAATTTATGGATTGAACAATTTTATTGAGCAAAACAACAATCCTTAAGTTTACATTGGTTTTTAACAACTATATAAAATAACTAATAACCAACAAAACTGAAACATTCAAAAATACTTGTCGAGACGAAGTAGCCATTAATTAAACAGCGACACTCTCAAGCAGAACGCAACAAGCGAGATAGAAAAATTGATTCACTGAAAGATGCTCATTCCAGCACGGTGACATATTCAGACCACAACGAGCGACGAAGATCAGCCTCTTGATTCTTTTCTGTTCAGCACCAGAAGATTATTAGAACCAGACTTCACTCGGAATCTCGACGTACCAGAAATTTTGTTCATAGTTTGTACGCCCATTGTAGTCGATGATCTAATGTGATAAGTCGATTTTCGTAAGGAAATTCCATGATATATGCAACGCTAAGGCACAGTCAAACAACATCTGCCATAGAATCTCAAGGAGACTTACAATATCTAACGTTTAGTTCACAATCCTTAAGAATCGCTATCTACTGGCATCCAAATTTAACAGCCAATTTTCCTACTATCTAGTAAATACCAATTACATAGGCCTAGTAACAAAACATATCCAACGAATAGGAAACTTTCCTTTGGAACAAATCTGTTCATTAAAATTACATCTCTTAAGCTCATGTGCATTTACACCAAGAAACCACTACAAATTACCATCATAGGGAGACCTATACGAACTAATAGTTTACAGTCATTTGTTGCTCGTGAGCCAACATATTTTCCACTTACTTTAATGCTATTAAATAATGACAAGTTCACGCTGAGCTTAACAAACTAAGGAATGTAAATATATATATGTATATATATATATATATATGTATGCATATACGTATATATCCAGCACTTCGGGTGAAATCTTGAGTTCAAGTGGATAAGGATAATTTCTATTTTTTACTTCTGCTCGTTCAGTTCCTGTTTAAGCTGTTCAAGTTCATCTGCTGACAGACCCGTTCGTGATAATACAGATTGTAGAATTGACCTAGAATTTAAAGAGATAGAGAAAACATTCGTACAAACAAAACTGAATTTCACTGAGATCATCACGGTAGAACAGCCCACTTCTTAAGCCCTTTCCTTTTATCTGGTAACCGGAGTTCTTGGTTCAAACTTTTCTCGTACTCTTCCTTTTCTTTTTCCGTTTGCGCACGTTCACGCATCTTCTTCAGAATAGATCCCTAATGAAAGTGATTACCTTTACTGTCTAAGATTACTGCAACTGTTTAAACTATGGAAAATCACAAAAAATTAAAAAACCACCTTCCGAGCATCTCCAACTGCTGAATTTTCCAGTATTTCAAGTATGTTCTCAACTGATATCTGGAGAATTGCATCCAGTTTCCGACATGAATCGCGTATAGCTAATTCGTCCGGAAGCATATCGGGAAATCGCAGTGAAAGCCATAAATATGCGTCAAGAACCTCGTAAACCTTAATGTTAAAACATTATGAGACTGCTCAAAAGAAATATTTGGTAGCAAAACCTTCTCAAGATTTTCCAGCTGCTGTAGGTTCTCTGGTTGACCAAGGGACTCCCAGTTCAACATATCCAGCATCCAGTCATATGTGAGACATTGGCCCGAGGAAAATCTAAAGCAATTATGCAGGCCAACTCAAAAACTACTCAAATAATGAAAATCTTGATATATGAAATAGTTTGGTGAAGGCCTATTTGCCAACGACTATCAATATTAAAAGTGCACAGAACCTTACCTTCTTACCATTTTTACGAATGCTGACGAGGTAAGCTTACTTTCGACATTAATTGGAGAGATACAAAATGTATACCGCACCTAGAAATATGCAGCCATTAAAAAAATTAGCCGTACAGAGATAGAGACTTTTTAAAACCATTAATAACGGTACCTTAAGAGGAAGAGGTATGTAGTCTATAAGATCAGCAAGCGTCCTCATATGGTCCACAGTGCAAATGAAGAACTGGTCAGATATTGAACAAACTAGAGTAAAATGAACTCAATATTCGCCATTAATATTTCAACAACCATGATGTCCCATGATTTACTTCATTGGTTGAAAAGCAAAAAAGAAACAAATACCAGAAACAAATAAATCCAGCAGATGAACGAATGATGCTTGTGGAAGATGGAACGAAAAAGTTTCAATTTGTTCAAATGTTGGAGCGATGCCGACCACTTCAATTGGTTCAACCTGGGTAGTAGATCACATTGAATGAAACTGGAGAAGAGGAAATCGTCAGCATACACGAACCGGTTTGCTCAGTATTTCGCGGAGGGTTCCAATATCTTCGTTACGCAAAGTTGTTGCGATTCCATCGGAGAATGATGTACCAAATCTTCAAAGAGAAGCTTGAAATATTGCTTCGACCAACGAAATATCGAAGCCAACTTAATCTCATGCTATCATTTCACTGTATGCTACACTATTGTATTATTTAGTTGAGAAAAATTCAGAAGAAAAGAAACGGATTATAGGGCGTTCACTGACCTCCCAGCTCTCCCAACAATTTGGAGAGCTGAATAGTTCGGCAACAACTCGCCTTGTCTGGTGCAAGATGATAAAATTATACGTCGAATGTTTAAATTGAGACCCATACCTATTGCATCTGTAGCAACCTGAGTTGGATTTCTCTTCTTTACTATTGCAAAAAGCAAATTCTAGAAAAGAACGTCTCCTATCTTCTTTATGGAAACTCCCTATAGAGCAAGAAAAACAATGACGAAAATGAAAACAAAGATTAAAAATAAAAATACAAGCGAATAACACTCACCAGAACATTACATGGGTCATTAGGATCGTTAAATTTTGACGCTTGGGCAAGTTTAGTACCTGGTGGGAGGTCACCGTAGATTACCGCAGGCTTAATACCTAATTTTTCTAAACTCCTTGTGATGCTGTAGATAGTTTTACGACTAAAACACACAATACAGTCGCCAGGTTGGACCTTAAACATTATAGAAAATATTTTATTTAAAGAGAAAACGAAACTTTCATATAACCTACATTATCCAAGGACCCCAATCCTTGATTTGCTATGGTTAACGCACTTTTCCTCTCATAATACCGTACCTGCAAATAAATGAATTGAAACTAAAGGACGTGAGCCTAATCTCATGTCGCTTCAATATCTAATCGACGATTTATTTTTCATCACGGACGCTTGAGCTAAAATCAACCTATTCCAATACAACTGATTTGATCCGCCGCCACGTACGAGCCATGTACCCCTTTATCTATCGCTACAAAACGAAAATATTTTGCAGGACTCCTACGTGCCCTCTGCATCTAAAAAAACTTTCGCTCTTTTTGCCATTCGCACCGGCAAAAGTCTCTGTGACTTCACGAGAAAAAGTACTCAGAAAATTTCTGTTTATACTAAGAAGTGTGTAAAATAGCTTTTCCAGTTTGATGTTTGGTGCATCTGTGGATACGCTATCAACTAAACATAAAAAGGACGACAAAAAGAATCTGGGCCTCAAAATAAGCGACTAGAAAATGGGTTGATATCAATTCACGTTGGACACCATGTGTTAAATAAAATATTGCTAATTAAAAGAAAAAAAAATTTAATAGAAAAGCAACCCAATAAAACTGGACCTCTACATGCTCTCCAATCGGCTCAACCAACTTTTTCACAATGTTAACAGCTGCCAGTTCGCCGCACAAATGTACCTTCACAGTTTCTACACTTATCCAATAACAAGTGGAAGAAACAAATCACATGGAAAAATTAAAAGCGAAAATTAAACCTCATCAGCTGCTACACCTAGTAATGCCCTTGTCCAAGCCCATCCACGTTGTTCATCTCGTAACATCTGGATTTCGTCGATAACAGCCACCTAAAGGAGTGTCCCACATTATTACATTTCCATAAAATCATAGAGGATAGGGGAAAAAGGTAGAACCTGTACCAAAAAGGGTGGCCCCTAACAAGCAAAATATGACGAGGTCCCACCTCCACTCTCATCTGGGTTGATAACATCTCAACAGTTGAAGAAATATGCGCACTTGGATGAAAATTGTCAACAGCATACCTGGAATATTAGAGTAAAGATAAATCGGAAACACGTAGCTCATGCTAATTTGAGTCGAAGCCCTAACACGACATTTGAAACCTGCCTCCTTTCCTCTCCTGTGACCAGGTCGCATTTAACGCCTAGCTCATTGCTGCGAGTGAATACCTCCGCAGCCAGAAGCTTTAGTGGTCCACAATAAATACCGCTTTTTGCTTCTCCGAACCTCAAACACCAAACTGTAGGCTCCATAAAGGAGCAATTTTAGGACATCGACGCACCTCTTTAAAGCATGGTAGGTCTTCCCGGAATTCGTAGGTCCTGCGTGAAAGATTATTTTCCGTTGAACTGTACGAGCATCAGGGTACCAATTATGAGGCTGCGTTAGATCCGAAATCATTCTCAAGTCATCCATTGCTTCCAAGTGTGGGAAAACCTGTAAAGTCCACATGAATCGTCGGAACTAAAGTTGTACTCAAATGTTAATATCGAAGCAAACCAAACGTTGAATAATTTATCCCGTGACACCATGTTTTAAGAAAATACACTTTTTACAGCGCAAAGTCATGTAACTTACTTTTCGAGCATGTGCCAGAAAGTAAGGGAAAAGCCTTTCAACATCATGGCCTTCCTTAATGATATCGTGGAAGAGCACTAACAACGCCGGTTCAACGCCACCCTGAAAGAAAAATAAAAATCCTTATAATTCAATATACTATAATATAATAATTCAAAAACATATTTCTGGGTAACAAACAAAACACCTTTTCATTGAGACAGTATTCACGGAACGATCTATAGGCAGTGACAAATAGTTTGGTGTTAAGTCCATTCTCGATCGATAGTTCTCTAACTGTCTTCCGCCGAAAAAATTCGTCGAGAGCTAAGAGCATGTTAGACTGAAAGAAAAAGGTAGAGCATTCCTTTCAATGATTTGTTCTAAATCCTTAAGCGATAGATTGTTAGATTTATAGCTAAAGCAATAAGAAGAAAATCCTACCGAATCCAAACCCTCCGTCCATTGTTCAACTCCGATAGCCAATGTTCGAGGAGGAGCAACAGCTCGAGGTACGACTAGGTCTTCGATTGCACTGCCACCACGATCGGCAGGTACGCCTTGAATAAATTCGAGATAAATTTGCTTCTAACTCAAAAGTAACACAATCTCCTATACTGACAAGAAGAAGTTTCGTACCAGTAATTCGTCTCCTTCGATTTGAACTAGGCAAGTCTGACCTTGACCGAGCCATTTGACCTTTTGTCAGTGTGATACATGGGGCCCAAGCGTTTAGGAGCGCTTCAGAAACTGACAGGCTTCCTCGCATTAACGAAGTTAGACGTGATCCGCTTTGAAGGGACCACATCTAAACATATGGTACTATCTAATATACGAAACAGAATCCCACTTTTTTAAAGCTTGTGTAGTTAAGTAGTTGAAAGCTTCATAGCCATACAAGAGTTTTACTCTACCGTTCTGTCGGTAAAAACATCTTTCTGAACTTCGAATTTGCTCGAGGTTCAAACTCTTAGCCTCAGTTTCATCAAGCGTAGAAGAAACCTGATTGAATGTATTTTTGGCGTAAAAATTGACTTCCAGTGACATACTAGTGTCTCAACTCTATGGAGGTGATTGAATGCATATCTGACCCTTACTCGCGGTGTGGACTACTGATGTATCGAGCTAGTGCTGCTATCCTTACAAACAAGTCTGCTAGGAATTTGCGAACCCCGGAGGTATGGGAACCTTGATGAGTGTGGGACATGGCATAGATCTTGTGTATTGCAGGGCGCCTCTAAACACTGCACTACACGCGCCCTTATGACCTGAGATATGTTTGTTTAATATACAAAAACTGGATGTAGCCAAGGTAGCAAATCCCTGGCACATGGAAGGTGCAAAGTGCATCGACCTTAACGGACCCTCGTTTCTTAGCTGCACTACTCTTACCCAGTTAACAGTTTGCTTTATCCGTCCAGATTTCTACTAACTCCGCCATCTGCACGACTCCCTTCCTCATCCTCTCTAGCTATCAAAGAGGAAAAAAAGGAAAGATGATCGAATTCGATCGTCATATGTTCAAGTAGAAAATGTAATACAGTGTGCTGTGCTGACGAACCATAATGAGTCCATTTTAAGCAGCTTTAACGATTCAAAATTGTGGAAAATTCCTAGAAATAGACGACATGGGTGAGCCCTTACCTCATTTCAGCTACGATGTCATGAATACAAAGATTTATATAAGATAGTACTCATAAAGAGCCAACTTCTAACGACAATAACCTGAATTCCCGTCAAGGATATTAGCATACAACAGTCGTTTAATATCAACAACTTTAAACGTCTTAAATCCTTTTGAAGAAAAAAAAAACTTCGCAATTCCTCTTCCTTCGACTGTATAGGAATCACGTGTCACTTTTTTCATTCTTAAACATAGGCCCATGACCAGGCACTATCCAGTCAGCATATGTCAGGATTTCTGCACGATTCTTTGATTGCATCTCTGGATAGCGAGACATTTCCCTCCAATCTTCATCATCGTTTGCATACTCAAAGATATCTCCTTAAAAATACCACGCTGTAACAACCTTGCGAAACAAGGATGTAGTGGAATAAACCAGATTCTTTGGAGCAATGAACAATAAACGCTCAACCTGCTACAATAATGCATCCATGCTGTGTACCATTCACAATCACAATAAGGTCGTGATCAGTATGTCCAGCACAGGAACGAAGCTCGACCTCTGGTGTTAAAAGAACCGGATTGTCCTATAAAACTCGACTCCGCGACAATGATCTTGTAAAGAGAAAACTGTAATAAAACAAAATAAAGGAAAAAAAAGAGATATTTGACAGTGTTTCCTATCTCCTTAGATGAATAGACAAACAACATCCATGAATCTCGCGACGAACAAAACGATTTCGTCCATTTCATGTGACAAAAATGCTCACTTATCTTTTAAATGACCTTCTTAGAGGATATTTGAAGTATTTTAAAAACCACTCTGTTATCCTCGCCCATCTGTTGTCGACACTTGAAAGAAACCGTATTAATTTTTTTTCGCTTTTGATGTGCATCTCACCTGCCAGTGAACGTGTACTACACAGCTTTGAGAAGTGAAGCTTTCTTTTAGAATCGCACCAACCCGAGGAAATAATAGGGGATAATGGAATAGCTGTATCGTCACAGCACGGTCGCTCTGAGCTAGCAAAAATTATTAGCTGACAAATCTCACTGGCATCCACGACCGCTGATAAAATGGCAATCGTTTCGTTAATACTAAGCACTTTCTCGTGGGAGTGGCCCAGTGGATAATGAACTAATACTTTAGACACTTTTGTGTTCTTAACAACGACTCGAGTGTAATTCATGCAAAAGACTGTCACATGGGAAAAGATTTGCCAAGGTTCCTTCGAGCACAACTCTTTTTTTCCTGCTTGGTGATGGTCGTCCTTCATAACTGTTTAATAGTATTTAGTCTTTACAAAAGGAACGGTTATCAAAAGCGACATGACATCATGGCACTAAGGAAGTCTTAAGTATGCGCCATCTTTCGCGTGTAAATGTTTACAGTTCACCGCATTGTCCATCATAGGGAGCCATACAACAAGTGACGATTGTTTTTCTCAGTTAGCAATATATTTTGGTCAGAACAACAGATAGTACATGATTTCTTCTACACCATCTGAACACAGCGAAAAAGAAACCTCGGAAAGCGTACTGTATTTTCCTTCATAGGCTACATCAGCAGCCATATATATAGTTGAGTGCGGAAACAATGACATATTTCCACAGTGGTCCAGATGGCCATGAGTGATTACTAAGACGTGAATCTAAACAAGAACTCGGGTAAAGCGCAAACACTATAACAGTAGAATTCCATTTGAAAATTGATCGGAAAAGCAAATATCTCAGCATTATGAAAGTTATATTTCTCAACCTACCCTGCCATTAAAATCAATAGGCAGTAAATAAAAAGGTTAAGATTGTGATTATAACTATAACCTCAGCTTAACTGGGTTCAATGTCGATTTGGGCTCCCTAGACCAATCCCGTTGACGGGTGATTGCTGATGACAAAAGATCGATAGAACTAGCTGAGAGACAGGCGAAACGAAGGACCCGCATGGTGTGGTGGTGAACGCGTTACTCCCCGGAAAGGACAATAGCGCGTTCGTTCTCCACCGCAGACACCTGCGGTCCAAAGTTTTGCAAACATCTCAGTATTATGAAAGTTATATTTTGCAACGTACTCTGCCATTAAAAAGAATAGGCAGTAAATAAAAAGGTTAGGAGAACGAGGTCTTTCGTTTCAGTGGATCACATTTGCAACTCAACAATTTATCGCCACAGAAAAATAATCAGAAGTCTGCAAAAAACCAGCTTAGGAACTTAAGTGCTTCCGGGTCTAACGAATTACTGAATTCCCGATAACTGAATACGAAATGAGAGACTACTCAATAGCTTCGGTCTTAACAATAGGAGCGCCGATGAATACAAGCGAAAAGAAAAGTGCAAAAAGAAGAAGTGCATCTTGTTGGCACGAATTTGTACATTCTAACCGCTATTACTTCCATTAATAGTAGTTCACCATAACTCTTTATACTTGTGTTTAGCCAAGACGACGAGTTATTTCATTTCTTTATTTACGCATAGGTTCACGATTCTGCGGGTTTCGCCTTCTTCAAAGCCTGGAAAGGTGAACTTGACCGCAATATATACAGCCAGACACCTCCATAACCAAACAGAGAAAATGCTGAACCAATATTTCAACAAAATTGAGTAGAGAATAACTTCTCTGCACACTCACCGCTTTCCATGAGTCTTCCACCGAATATGTCCACTGAATATGTCACGTGGAAGATCCATAAAAGGTAGTGAGGTTGAAAAGAAACTACTTTGTGTTCAGTGTAATTGAAATCTTAGTTTAGCATTTCCTCTGCTTGGTTATGGAGGTGTCTGGCTGGGTAAACTGCGGTCAAGTTCACCTTTCCAGGCTCTGAGGAAGGCAAAATCCACTGAAACGTCAGCTTTTGTGCAAATAAAGAAATAGAGTAGCACCTCGCGTTTGCTAGATAAAAATATAAAGGATAGTATACTATAAGTTGAGATATTTTTCTTTAAAGTTCAAAGGTGCGATTGTTTCTAGCCTAGTGGAATTGTATGCGCATTGTCCATTACGCGTTAAATCTGAAGGTCTTGCCACAACTTTCTACTTCGAGTTCACACTTTTACTGTCTTCCAGTCCTTCATTGAGCCTATAGAGTGTTGACAACTACTTTATCGAGTAGACCCACAGGTTTTCGTTGTTGGTTCTAATCCTTTACTGTACATCTTCATAGAAGTTTCCGTGTCGTTCTCTTGCTTCTATATCATGTTCGTTCAGCGCTGCTTGAACCGCGTTTACTTCAACTTCAATGAGAACTTTTGCTCATTCCCTGCAATGAAGTAATGCGATCCAAACTACGATCTTCTTCAGATCTTACGTCTACTCCAATGTTTGTTGCCTTTATTATCACTCAGTTTTAAAGGACGCTTTTTTTCGGCTATTAAAAAACCTCGATATATGGAGAAAAATTGTAGAGTACCGAATTCAAACAACGTGAGTCCACTTTGGTAGGTTTCTTGGTTTTAGATCGACTTTATTGCTACGGTGCCACGCGGTGAGATGTGAAGCCAAGGGTTTTGCGTTGGGCGAAACTGCTCTGTTGATGAACGAAGTTGCTTCGCCGTTGAGTTCGTTTTATGAGTTCGTACATCACAATATCTCATCATCATCACAGTACACAAGAATATTTATTGAAAAATGAATATCTTTTACTTATCGTTAGCCACGCGATATCTTCTTCTTAAGGTTTCTGTTGAGAGTTTAATGAGCAGCAGAGGAAGGGTTGAATGAGGGTGACGATAGCGATGGCAATAGATCCAACTGAATAACCATCCTTACATAAAAGGATAAAAAAAGGATAAAGCTTTCGACGTTGATTTATCCCTGAGGGATTCGTCACGCATTCGACTTCACTAATCGCCGTTGGAGGTGATGGAATGCACGTTTGGCCTTTACTCGCGCTGGCCAACCAATGTATCGAGTCACTGCTGCTATCATCCCAGACAAGTCTCGTGCCAATTTGCCCACCCCGGAGGGATGGAGAGCTTGGTGGGCCCGGGGATCTATCCGATGTGTATTGCAGGGCACCTGCGACCATTGCGCTACACGCGCCCCTTATATACTGATCATAGAATACAGTATTGTGATGACCTTTCCTAGTGAAGACACTTTTACAGAGAAAGAGAATATTCACTGCAAAGTATAGTCACTATGCAATCATGCATTTGACTAGTGCTCATTCTCATTCCTATAAACCATACATTATGTGAGGAAGCAGTTTAACCCTTCAACTTAAATCAACCGACAACCGACGTCCATAGCAAGCTTTCCTAAATAGAAAGAAACCATCACGACATGTAAATCTTTGTTAAACAGATAGCTTCTAATAAGTTTACCACGACGAAATCCCAGTTATCTGAATGTTTGGGAAAAGGTGCAAAAAAGATGGTGAAAAAAAGGCAGTTATTTAAAAACAAAAACAGTCGTGAATGTGTTAGTGAATGTTTTGGATGAAACATTAAACCAGTGGTTATCGTACGTGCTTAGCCAAAAATTTAGAAAAAAAAATAACGAACTCTGTTCTTAGTCAGAAAAATCACTTAGTCAGGAGGCAGTTTAAGCATTTCGTAACAAAAATTACGCAGGTATTATAACATGGAAACATGGAGCTATAGAGAAAACCACTTCAAAAAACGGTAAAGATGTCATATCGCCACGTTATGACGTATTCTACAAACCTACATCATCTGTGCGTACTCCAAAAGATGACAGTCTCTGCAAAATCTCATTACTACTCCATGGATCACCACAATCAACAAGAATGTTCACAGTAGACGTTCGAATAAGCGTCACCTATAAAACATAAATCAACGCAACATATTATCTACTGGACCATTTCGTAAATTCTTACTCAGCATAAACTTATATTCAACTTCATCAGTGAATTTACAAACAAAACAGGAATGCTAACCAGTTACGTTATGAGGATGAAGAATGCCAATTTCAACATTCCCAACATCTTACCTTCACAAATCAATGTTCAAAGCCCAATTCACAAAGCGAAAACTGTATTAAAGAATTATCGGGCACTCTTTTGCGATTAGGAGATTTGTAAGACTATAATCGTACATTAAAAACATGTTAACAAGGATATGTGTGACGAAACGTTTTGCAATAAAAAATTCCAGTAGTTATAAACTAAACTCGGCACTGTATTACGTGAGATACGACCACAGTGATACTGAGATATTTGCAAAACGTTAAACCTTGGCCAGATAGAACCGCTATCACGCTTGTCGGAGGTCCGCGTGCTACGCACGGTACCATTGAGACCGCCCTTCTGCCTTTCTCTCAGCCCGTATTTTTACCTTAATGCCATCTGCAATCACCCGTCAACGGGAATGATCTGCGAAGCACAAATAGGTATTGAACCCAGTTAACCTGAGGTTCTGGCCGAAATCACAATGTATAACTTTTTTAACTGGGTTCTATGCCGATTTGCGCTCCCCAGATCAACCCCGCTGACGGGTGATTGCTGTGGCAAAAAGATCGATAGAAATAGCTGAGAGACGTGCGAAACAAAGGACCCGCATGGTGTGGTGGTGAACGCGTTACTCCCCGGAAAGGATAATAGCGCGTTCGTTCCCCACCATAGACACCTGCGGTCCAGAGTTTTGCAAATATCTCAGCAACATTGTGGTTGTATTTCGCTTAGTAACCTGCCATGAAAATTATAGAAGGCAGAAAACAAAACGTTAAAACAGTATAACTTTTTATTTACTGAAAAGACTGGGTGAAAGATGCGAAAAGAGGGCTTCGGTGGTGCCGTGCGCAACACATGAGTCTCCGGAAAGGGTAATTGCTGTCCGATGTAGTGTTCACAATATTTGAACAAGAAAAACGAGACTTGCAAAGCATAGAACATAAAGGTTGTACAATTAAAAGGCTTCGAAAAAATAAAGTAAACTTGCATAAAATTGCAGATTCGAAACATCTCAAACGGCCGAAAGGCTAAACCGCCCCACTCCGACAAATAGAAAACTTAAGAATTGCATGAAATGCGACTAAAAACCAAAGTCATAGTGTAACCTACTTTGCGCTTCTTCTATTCAACAAAGAATAAAACGCCCTTGTAGGAGATGCTCACTACAAATTTCTGACCCTAGCTAAATCACTACAGCAAAGAAGCACTATATGGAATCAATAAAACATGTTCAAACACCTGGACAACTTTGTTCGCGAGGGTACTGTCATCAATCAAATGTCGGTTGAAAATGATTTTTCAGACTCTACAAAATATAAAGATCTAAACCTTTACATAGTCGGAATGCCCATATTAGCAACAATCTGGAAAAACTTAACTGACTACAAAAGTTTGACTCTAACAGGAAAATTTCTAGATAATTTAATTATGGCAAAATAACTACATTTTGAACTTTGCGTTCAAAGTCGGACGTTTCATATTGAGCAAGGGACACATATATGAACTATGCTGAACAATATAAACTTCAGCATCGTTTTCCTTTGTAAAATACAATATCGAAGATAAGCAAGAATGAAAAAGAGGGAGGGAGAGCGAGAAGATGATGGAACAGCAGTACGGATTAAAACGGGGAACTGAAAGAGTGAGATGAGAGGTAAACGTGGAATAGCTAAAGAAATGCGTAACAATAGTGAGATCAATGAAATAAAAAGGATAGTTAGCGGGAGAGAGAGAGAGAGAAAG